AGAAAGAAAGAAAGAAAGAAAGAAAGAAAGAAAGAAAGAAAGAAAGAAAGAAAGAAAGAAAGAAAGAAAGAAAGAAAGAAAGAAAGAAAGAAAGAAATTAGTGTTTCTCAACCGTGGCATTTTTAAAATAAGTGGACTTCAACTCCCAGACTTTCCCAGCCAGTTACGATAGGCACAGATGACGTATATAAGCAGCAACAGATATATGCCCATATTCCTTGCAAGAGACCATAGGAATCCGTTACACCCAGTTGGAGTTACTCACCGGCCACCAGGCAATGTTCCTTCCAGCCAGAAAGTAACCACGCACGCTGTTCCTACTTGCCCGGCATGACGACTGCAAAGGGAAAGAGACAACTGAGCCAGGAAAGGGGTGAAATTTATTACATCTGCCTTTCCAGTCTCCCCATCTTTTCCAGCCCTGCCTCACCTGCCTCCCTCCTTCCCTCCCTCTGGGAATATACATCCTGCTTTCCAAATGCTCGGCTGAGTCCCTACTCTGCAATAAAACCCCACCCCATGTTTGTTTATTACCTTTATTCTTTCTTGAATGGCTCCTATCTTGTTGCTTTTCTTGTTTACTAGATCATTTCAGCCTGGACTGTCTGTTTGAGGTCATGTTTTTCAGTGAATTGGATTTATTACCCAAGACCGTCAACTAGCTCCTTTCTCTCTTCCTCCCTCTCCCCCTTTTTTATTCTTTTTATTTAATAAGCTCTAATTGAAAAGAAACACAACCTAACCCTACAATAATGATGCTGTCCCAGGATCAAAAACGGCACTTTGAGGAAGAAGGGGCCTCTCAGAGCCTCCCACGGAGCAACTACAGCTCCCATAAACGGATGCCCACTCCCAGTGAGTTCAAAGGGGTCGGCTTAAGAAACGAGGCTGCTGTACCCAGATGCCAACTGCCAGGTTCAAAAGGAAATACATCACCACCACCACCACATCTGGAACGCCAAACTGCGGCGAAAGAGCGGGGATTTCTGCGTGGGAATTATTCTCCATGGATGGACGTGGTATCTCAGCCCGAAGAGAAGAGCAGTTCACCGTAGCTTCTTCCTTCTGGCTGCTTCCAAGCCGAGGGGAATTGATCATTAAACCAGCAAGCGGTGGAACTCCCACAACCTTCCTCCAGAGATCAGGGCCGGCCCACCTTTCCAGCTAAAACAGCCTCAGATTTGGCCCAGGTTGTTTGGGCTTGCAGTGGCCAGGAGGACGGATTTGTCCCTTCTGATGACCTGAAGCCAAGGTTGGATCCTGCTTCTATTCACCCTTCGGATGGCTATGGAGGTTCTCCATCATCCAGGTCACAGTGGCCCCCAAAGTGCTTTCCCAAAAGGCAACTGGACTTTCTTGGGGTCAATTTTTTTTTCTTTTTGTGAAAATGTTCCGCTTCTCATCCAAGAAGCTTCCTCACGACCAAAGAAACTTTCTTAAACGAGAAGTGAAGTGTTTTCAAGGGGAAAAAAACAACCAAGAAAGTCCAGTTTAGGAAAGCACCTTTTGGGATCCATCCTTGGAAGTCTCGGGTAACTTTCCTCCATCTGCTATGGCAAGTGGGGGGGCTACACACACACACACCCCACACACACAGAGGCACACGGACAATTTGACCACCTGAGAGGAAGCTTCTCCAACTTTCAGAAGACGCGCTGGGAGAAATCCTGGGCACCCTAAACTGATGCTGGCTTCTGTATCTGGCAAGCTCTCTTCGATAGGGTTGGAACGGCAGCTCCCACTACTGACCTGGGTGGATCCACGCCGGACTTAGCTATGGCTAGGAGGACCTGGACACAAGGACGCCCTTGAGGAACGAAGTCAGTCCCTTTCACAGGGAGCAAATCCCTCTCCGTATCAGGTTAAAGCTTAAAAGCCAACCCCTTGGGCAATTTCCAATTTAGTTTCTTGAGGATGGGTTTGCTATTTGCCCCCTCCAGCTTCCCAGGCTGTCCAATGTGCCTTTGACATCACCTGGTGGCCTCCCACCCAAGGATGAATAGTTCTTGACTTGGCCTAGCTGAGACCAGCTAACAATGGCTTGGGGCTGCCCCCTAGTGGCGATGCTTTTAGGAAAAAAGTGAACACCCACTGAAAAATGTGGAGATAGATGCTTGTGTTAATTCTCAACCTCTACCTTAATACGCTTTTTGGGCAGCCTTAAAAACTCGGTTCTTCAGAAAGGAACATTTTATTTATTGACTCAATTTGTAAGGAAGGCTAAGGACATGGTGCCTCTCGGGGGGTGGGGGGGGGGCTCATTGGATCTATTGATAATTGTAGCGGGTTGAAATCTAGACCTCTTTAAAGTTTCTAAGATTGCGAAACACGGCCTTAAAGATGGCTAGAATCTTTGAAGAACATTGCTGTAAAATTTCAAAATCAAAACCCTACATGTCCAGGGAAGAAAAACTGGCCTCTTCATGGGCTGCGTATTTGATCATGGGATCCATTCAGCCCCATCTTACCAGCCTCCCTTTTTCACCCCGTCCACCGTCCACCTCTCTTACAAACATTGACATGTCTTGTTAATGTGTCAGCCTTTTCATTTGCTTGTGGCATCGTTTAGTGAAGCGGCTGTGTTAAAGTCTAACCCTGGAGGGCTGGAGGGTGCAGAAACTCCTTCATCTGGGACACACAGAAGGGATCATAAATGGCAACTTTGCACCCTTGAGAGGTGAGTTTATGGGCAGTCAAGGTGCCAAACACCTGCTTTCAACAGGCGTAAAGTAACTGATCTGCAGAGTGGATCAGTTCTCGGATGGGAGGCCACCTAGAGACCCAAGGGCTGCAGGCAAGATGTAAAAGTCAAAAGACACATTCCAAAATTCCAGAACGGCTGGCAAGAAAATTCCAGGGATACCTCTCTCCCCAGCATCCAAATTCAACTGGGAGGTCAGCATACACTAGATGTTGAACTATCTCCCCCCCCACCCCCCCCATTTTTTTCTCTCCATGTCCACACATTTTTCTCTCCCCAACAGCAAAGAGAGGACAACAATCGAACAAATATTTCCTAAAAAGCTCATGCAAAACCAGAGTTGTTTTATTTGTGCCAGAAAATAAATACCAGTGCACGTTCCTTGTGGTTTTTTTCCCCCCCTATAAAAGCATGTTTACAAAAAAAAACACAACATCACGGAATTGCATACAACGGTGTGGTTTTCTTGTTTGGCTGGTCTCGGACACAAACTCGATGCCGTAGCTACCGTTTGTCGAACAACACACAAAAGCACTTGAAAAGCAAGCTGGGAGGCGCAGGAAGGAAGATTATGGGGTACCTCGTCTTCCAGTAATGCCGCAGAATGCCTCCTGTGCGAATCTCATGGAACGATAACCTAAAGATGCGTACGAGGGATGGAGATGAACAGAAGCGGCTGCTTTCAATCCCAAGCAGCCGGGTCTGACATGGCTGCTTTCATCCCAAGCTCTAAGGCAGCGTTTCCCAAGCTTGGCCACTCCAGGATTCAACTCCTCTGAAAACAGCCGCTTCCCTTCATTTCCCTCCCACGTGGGCAACCGCGTTTTGTGCGAAGCGGCTATTTTCACGTGACAAAGAGCAGAGTCTGACACGGCTGCCTTTATCTCAAGCTCTATGGCTGTACTTCCCAAGCCTGGCCGCTTTAAGATGGATGGGCTTCAAGTCCCAGAATTCCCCAGCCAGCTTGGATTCTGGGAGTTGAAGTCCACCCCTCTTAAAGCAGACAAGCTTGAGAAAAACTGTTCTAATGGAGTGCAGGACTCTTCCTATTTGCTGGGACAAAATAGTCTTATGAACATGGGTCCGTCCCAGTTCCGGATCCATGCTAGAAATAAAATGTCCTTGAGGTGCATTCCTTCCTGCCGCCAAGATCACCCCCAAATCCCTCCTACCCACCCACCCCCCAAAAAGAGGAAAACCATCAACGAGGCCAGGTTTCCCCGCCTGGGTTCCTTGCAACGAAGCTGCAGCAGGAAAACCTCTGCCTGGGAGGGAGTCTTGGCTGCAAAAGAGCGCAGCTAACCGGACCGTCCCTAGAAGTTGAAAAGAGGGTCGTTGGTTTTTAATTTAAAACTTTTTTATGAAATCCTTTCTCTTTCCCGAAAACAAAATCGCAAGGGAAATAGCTCTGGGGATTTGGTCCACTCCATTTAAACCACCGGAAAGAAAGGGAAGAAGGGGGAAGGGGATAAAAGCCACCTAATAAAAAAAAAAAGGGGGTCTCATTGACATACAGAGATGAAGCCACAAAAAGTTTCACAGCTGGGTTTCTGTCCCGTATCCAGTTTGGCCCCTAAAAAAACCAAAACCTCCTTCTCTCCTTTTCCTTCAAGCCCACCCCCAAGCGACCGTCAGTCATCCAGCCCTATGTTTCTGAAAAGGTACGACATGGATTCCCCGTTGTGGATTCTGCGAATGGCCTCCGAGAGGATCAGGCTGATGTCCACCGTCTTAATCTTGGGGCACTGAAGCTTTTGGACCTCGTGAGGAATGGTGTTGGTCACCACAACCTGAAACAAAGCAGATGCTAACTCATAAAATATTTCTAGGGTCTTTTAAGAGTGGCCAACAGAAAGGGAGGGGGGGCGGGGGAGGGGGTTTGAAAGAGCAGTGAGGCAGCTTGGAAAGTGAAAGTGCATTCCATAAATGTTCTCAAAGATAATAACTAGGCAACCGAAGTTTCTGCGGAGCAAAATTCTAACTGGAGAGCGTGATCGATGGCTCTTGGCTGTGGATGGGTCCCATTGGAGAATATGGATTACGATACACCCAGGGGGGTGGGGGGAAACCAGGGTCAAGGGTGACAAGGAATGATGTGCCTCAGAGTCGGCTGCACCCAGGCAGCACCGGCCATGTTAACTCCCAATAAATCCTTTAGAAGTTTTGGAAGTTTGGCTCGAGACTCAGGATTTAATTGGGGGTCACTGCCGGAATCCTGACAGCAGAGACCTGAAGCTACTGGGTGTGTGTGTGTGTGTGTGTGTGTGTGTGAAGAGAGACACCCCAGGAGTTGAGCTCTCGCAAAGCGAGACAACTCCCTCCTGGAGCACTAGGCATGGCTTCCATTGGGCCTGGAATGGATCGCCACAAATCGACCGAGAGATTATTTTAAGAAATTTAATGTACCCACCGTCTTTCGGTCCTGCCTTGTGTCCAAGGGCTCGGGGGGGGGGGGGGGGGGGGGCATTTACAGAGAGCTCTTCCCTGCCTGGCAGAAGGAGGCGGGCTGAACTGCTTCCAAGTCACCCAAGGGCTCCGTGATGAAACAGGTTGAATTTGAACCCTTTCAGGGTCTTTGGAGGAAGGAGAGCACCAGCTGAACCAACTGGGCAAACGCCTTAAGCCTGAGCCGGCAAGAACTGGGTTCAAATCCTGGCGCGAGTGGCGAGGTTAACAGGCCTCATGCTGGGGAATTGACTGACCTTGCCTGCGGAGTGCTTAGACCGCGTTTCTCAACCCCGGCCACTTGGAAGGGGTGTGGACTTCAATTCCCAGAATTCCCCATCCGGCTGGCTGGGGAATTCTGGGAAATGAAGTCCACCCATTTTAAAAGTTGCCAAGGTTTAAAAAAAACACTGGCCTGCATTCCTTCTTGGGCACCCAGGCCCAGGCGATGTGGGTTGAACCGGGGGGCCAGAGATTTGAACCCAGGGCCTCCCGTGGCCACGTGCCACGCTACCCTTCCCCGACTGCCCGGCTGCATTTCTGCCAAACGGTCCTCCTCCCGCCTACCTCATCGATCGCCGACTCCTCTATCAACCGGGGGGCGTCGGAGGAGAGGAGGCCGTGGGTGGCCATGACGAAAATCTTATAGGCGCCTCGCTCCTTCAGGGTCTCTGCAGCCGCGAGGAAACTGTCCACGTCGTCGATGATGTCATCCTGGCCGGGGAGACCAAGGGTGTCGTTAGAGGGGCCGGGGGGTGGGGTTTCACCTGCCTCCCGCTGGGGGACCTTCCACCCCGTCGTTTGCGGGTGGCCATCTTGACTTTTCCGACCACGTTCCCACAGGCCCCTCTGCACGGGGCAAGTTCCAGAAGCGGAGAAAGAGAAAGGGGTGTTCTTCCAATCAAGGTGGGAGACTCGCCCCCAACTCCCGCCTCTTCTTGTGCAGGCAGGCTCTGAACCCCGCAGGCCTCCAGGCCGCGTCCGCCACCTACCACAATGATGGCTATTCGCCCCCCGACGTCTCCAACCACAGTGATGGGCGGCTTCTCTTTCGGAATCAGCACTGGCAAAAAGAAGGAGAGGAAACTGGGCTGGGGGTTTCTGCCTCGGCCCCTGCAAAATGCCGCCACCCTCCCGGACAAGGCGGTCTGCAGCCAACCCGACTCTGACCAAGGAGACAGGAGGGGTCACCCTAAGAGGACCCGACTTCTGAATTTCTCATCGCTTTTAGAGCCCGAGAAGGTGGAGGGGTTCCTTTCTGAGATCGCCTCTTATCCGACCGTTCTCTGTTCCGCACCTCTTCCTCCTTCTCCCAAGGCCACCCGCACTCTCCTTCCATCCCAGTCCCACACCCTCCATCCTTCCTTTGAGCACAGCCCTCCAAACAAGGTGGATTCCCCCCCCCCCCCCCAACCCCCCCCCTTGCCTTCCGGCCATGGATTGACAGCCATGCCACTCTCCCTGCCCGAGGCTACTTACTGGGGATCTCCAAGCTGGGGTGGATGGCAGCGGCGCTTTTGGCAGTTGGGGGCGAATGGCGCCCGTCCACCAGATCGGACTCGGCATCTTGAGCCTCTCCGTGGATGACGGCGATACCCAGCCTCAGACGCTCGGCAAACGACTGCGCCCTGCAACGAGCCCACCCTGTCCTTGGCATGGGCACAGATGCCAGGAGAGGAACCTCATCCCCGTAACAGGGATGTCCCAGCCATGGCCGCTTTAAGACCTGTGGACTTCACAACTCTCAGAATTCCCCGGCCAGCCATGCTGGGAATCAAAGTCCACAGGTCTTAAAGCGGCCAAGATCGGACACCCCTGCCCTTCTGAATTCTGGGGGAAGACTAGATGGGCTTAGGGAGTCAGGGACCCCACCTACCTCTTCGCAGAGGCAGGAGACTTGGCCACAATCACAGCGTTCCTGTAGTCAGGAATCTACACAACGAACAGCAGAACAACCACACTCAGAGCTGGCCTGTTATGCTGACCGCGGAAGGGACGTTTCAGGCGGCCCCGGATCCTTTCTTCTACGGGAGCTAGAGAAGCACAAAACCGGGTGCTCCCTCCCCCCCCACGAACTCCCCCCGATTCCAAGCTGCAATGCCCCCCCGAGATTCGGGGCCACCTAAGCCCTAGAGATGACTCAGGCCTGGTTCCCCTCAGCCTGCCTTTCCCCATGGTTTCATTTTTGGCCTCCGTCCTAAAAGGAGCAGGGGGCTTGTCTTTACCCCCATCCCCCCCCCGAGGCGTGGCTGACCTCCATCCCCCCCATTTCATCTGCCCAGCCCAGAGAGGCCGAGGATTCGGGCTGGCTCACCTCTTCCTGGATGTACTGGAGCAGAAACGGCGATGCCCTCAGGTTGTCAACCGGCACGTTGAAGAAGCCCTGGATTTCCTTTTGGTGCAAATCCATGGTGATCAGGTGAGTCAGCCCTTTGGGGAGGGCAGAAGGAACAATACATCGGGTTGGCCTTGCCCCACCCGGGCTGCCCGCGTTAGCCGGGCGAGGGCGGAAGGCCCTTACCTGCCTTGCACATCATGGAGGCCAGGAGCTTGGAGACGATGGAGCCCCGCTTCCGCATCTTGCACTGCTTGCTGTAGGGGAAGTAGGGCACCACGCCGATGATGCTTTTGGCGCAGGAGGTCTTGCAGGCGTAGACCATGATCAGCAGCTCCATGATGATGGTGTTCACGTCCCTGGAAGGAAAAGACGCCAGTCCAGCCCACGGCCCTTCACCTGGGGGATCGGCCTGGTTCCCCCCCCCCCCCCCCCCCCCCCTTGGAAACCGTCTGGATGATGAAAACGTCTTTGCCCCTCACAGACTCCTGGATCTGCACCCTCGTTTCTGCCAACAAGGAGAAAAGAAAAAAAACAAGAGGTGCTCAGGGCTGACGCACAAGTGTAAAGCAGGGGTCTTCAGCCTTGGCCCCTTTAAGCCTGGTGGACTTCAACTCCCAGGATTCCCCATCCAGCAACGCTGGCTTTGGAGTTCTGGGAGTTGAAGTCCGCCAGGCTTAAAGTTGCCAAGGTTGGAGACCCCTGGTGTAAAATAAAGTACATCGCAGTGCGATGTAAAATGGAAACCCACAACAACACTGCTCGGCCTCGTGGCTTTTGAAAGTCAGAACAAAGTGGAATCTTTTGCAAACGGAAAGATTCTCCAGGAAGCGGGCATGGTGTGCTTGTGTCTGCGCAGCAGAGGAGGAGGAGACATTGAATGAACCGGTTGCTCCTCCTCCTTCGGCCTTCAGGGAGTGAGGCCACAGGGGTCCTCTACTCACCTCTGTTTGCCTCCTGGTACACCTGAACCTTGCCCATTTCCACACCCAGGCGCCTGTAGAAGGATCCGAGAGAGAAAGCAAGGTCATGAAGAGGAAGAGGATCCAGCAGGTATGGACTCCAACTCCTAGGATTCTCCAGCCAGCAGGTGGACTAGTGAATTCTGGGAGTTGAAGTCCACAAGTCTTAAACTTGCCAAGTTTGAAGACCCTTGCTCTAAATTCTGTGTGTGAGGGAGGGAGGGAGGGAGGGAGAGAGAGAGACTATCAACCATTCCCACCCACCCATATCAAAATCCTACGGTTGAAAACAGCCAGGGGAAAGGACGGGGGCGCAGGGGACCCTTACTCCACAATCCTTTTCGAGAGCTCCATGCAGGAGGGGTTGGAGTTGGCCGAGAAGAGGACCAGGCCACCCTTTGTGACATTCATGATGGGCCCAGGTCCAACAGGGGCCACACAAAACATCAAAACTGCCTTTGTCGTCCTGCCTTCGGAGAGACTGCCAAAAAATAAAACAAAAAAGGTTTTAAAAAATTCCACCAAGGACTTTTCAGCAACCCTCAATCGAACAAAAGCTACCGAAATCTTGCATTTCAAGAGTTTCTGCAGGAGGATTTAAAGCAACGGTCTTCCAACTTGGCAAGTTTAAGACTTGTGGACTTCAACTCCCAGAATTCCTGAGCTAACATGGCTGCAGGAGGAATTCTGGTCCACAAGTCTTAAAGCTGCCAAGTTTGAAGATCCCTGATTTAAAGCGATGTTTCTCAACCTCCACCACTTTAAGACGGGTGGACTTTCAACTCCTACAATTCCCATCTTAAAGTAGTGGGGGTTGAAGCAACTCATTGAGAGGACCTTGATTCCACCAGCTTTTCACCCAGCAACACAAGCGATGCCTTTCTGAGGGGAAAAAAAACCTCATTTATAACCTCCCATCGTTCGAGGAACCTCATTTACTTAAGAATCCGAAGGCCACACAAACCAGGGATGAATAAAAGCAGGTACAGTCACCTAAACGTTAAGCCTTCCCAACCAAACAGATTTAGGCTCCACCACAGCAACGTTCTGAATCCAAAGCCTTGGACAGGCTTAACAGTCTACACACAACAATCAACAGTTAATTCAGCCGTTTTTTTTCTTCCCAGTGGCTGTTTCCGACCACAGAAAAGCACTCCCAGCTCTTTGCACTTACAAATAAAGGTGTAATCCAGGAAAAGAGTTTAGGTAACTCAGCCCTCCGCTCTTCAGTCTTCTAGAATGTTGCTTTTAAGCACCTGCAGAAAAAGAAGATGTATGTATGTATGTATGTATATATAAAAGCAAGAAGTCTGTTTACTATCTTTGAAAACCAAAACCAGGAAATAACTTCAGTCCCCCGCCAGCAAGTGTCGGATTAGGCTTAGACAAAGTCCCAAATCTCACGAGGGTTCCTTAAAATGCCCTCCCGTCCCGTCTTGGGACATCGTCCAATGCCAAATTCATTACTCAGAGAGGATTAGTTTTCTCCTAACAAGAATTGGAATGTACACATTGTGCTAAAATCCAGAACTGTCTGGACCAATAAGAGATCTAAAGATTCTAATATGAAAAGTGCCCCTCTAATTGTGGCATCTATTCAGAAAAGAAATATTTTGACCCAGAACTGCATCCAGCACTGGCCAAGAACATTGTAAAAGTCTTTTTTCCCCCCTTAAGTCTTGTCTCCAGGCAAACCAAAAATATTCTGTTTGTTTAGGTCTGGTGTCGTTTCCCTGCCCAAAGCAATTTGGAAAATCTCTTTCACACTTCATAAGACATTCTGCCTTTTCTGTGCAAATACATAAATCAGCCTCTTGTCCCCAAGCAGCCAGCCATTGGGAAGGGGAGAAAAAGAGGAAAGGCACAAAAACACAGAAACACAAGGCAGCTGCAACAATGCAGTGGAGAATGAAAACCACAATGCACAACCCAAAGCCGGGTCTTGTGGCACAGGTGCCAATGGCAACTTCAACCGGCATGGGCCTTAAGGGTGGCAAGGAAGGCTGGCAGCTACAAGCGAGACACAGGGCAAGGGTGAATTTGTAAAATAAAAGCCAGGGTTCAATTCGTGAATCATGCAAATCCACTAGGTGAACCGGCTGGATCAGTAATTTGCAATGAAGCCGCACGAAGATCACATTCTGGGAGTGAAGCCCATGAAATAATAAAATCTCTACGTGGCAGGCAGATCTCTTTCAGTGCAAGAATCTTTCCAGAGGCCATTTTGGGATTCTCGTGTAATCAATCCTGGTTTTCCGCAGCAGGTTCCCCCCAAAAGGGATCAGGAAACCCATTCTTTTTCCTTCCTGGGATCCGCTTTGGAGTCACTGCAATCCTAGAGCTGAGGACCCCACGGCCGGTCCAGGGCTCCCAAAAAGCTGCAATTCACAGCCTCTCAGAAGTGCCAAATTCCCTCTTGGGGGGCAGGGAAAGAGAGACACTGTGATTTCTATCTCGTCTTCCTTGCCAGCTCTTTGTATTCCATCTCATCTCCCTCTAAATAGAATTTAATCCAGGGGTGGGCTAAAATCCAGCAAGAGGACCCTCCTCTTCCTTGCCCATCAGTGGGAACATCCAACGCAGAAGACTCCTGCTGACCACAGAGCAGCCTTCTATTTTGTTCACTCGACAGCCATGGATATTTCAAGTCGCCAGCAGGTCTTTCCTGCCTCCTGGCACGGGGGGGGGGGGACCAGGTGCGTGGGGCAGGTGTTGTACAATGTATGGGCTCCATCTGGATTTAGAAACATAGCTGTAGGCCACAGCAGGAGGGAAAACTGCAAGAAAGCAGACTTGGATGTGCAAGACCGCTAGTGAAGATTGCACACGCAGCTGTAAAAGTGATAACAGAACAACGCCCCCCCCCATAAAAATAAAAGGCACAGAGAAATAAAATAAAAGTGAGCTGAGGCAGAGAGGCTGTAAAACCGCAGAGGCTGATCTGAACCTGTTTAAACGCCATCAGGGCCACGATCCATCTTCTCCCCTCCCGGCAGATTTTTTTGAGCGGTGGGACATGGCAACAGGTAACTGGGCAGCAGAAAAGTCACCCCTCCATTCTGGTCCCTCCGCAAACCCAGCTGCACATTCAAATTCTGCAGGGGAATAAAACCCCTCCCAAAGCAAAAAGGGCATCGGCCAGATGGTAAACAACACGTAGGGAGGAGAAAGTCCAGCCTCCTTGGAGCCGGGTTGAAGTCTGAGTGGGAAACACCCATGGAAGTTTCTCCAGAAATGGGTGGACATTTTTTTTTTTTGGGGGGGGGGGGTCATCCAGCCTCCTCCTGGCTCGAGATTTCCAGGAAACCTCCCTCCTCCCACCGCTTTCTCTGGCCTCCAAAGTTGTTGTTTTTTCAGCTGTTGCTTTGAGTCATCCGAACCCCAAAACCATGCAGCCCCCTTCACCACATTCCTCCTTCTTCCACGCCTCGCTCAACCCCAAAAGGACAAAAACTTCATTTCAACGGCCCTTTTGCATTTTCTCTCCCCCATTGCATCTCCCCCCCCCCCCCCCCCAACCCCCCCCCCCCCCCCTCACTCCCCTTAAAAAGGCCTAATTTCCGGGATTCCCCATGGGGGGGTGGGGGGGGGGGGCCCCCCAAGGTCCCCCCCCCCCCTGGAATAAAGCAACCCCTAAATAAACCAGGCTCTGTGGAATTGGGGAGGGGGCCCTCATCTGCTCCCATTAAAGGGCCGCCCAGCTGTGCAGGAGCCCCCTAAAAGCTCACCCATCTTTCAGGGCTACCAGATAAGCCATGCAAGAGGGGACATGAGTCGGAAAGGCCTCCCCCCGCCCCCGGAAATCAAAGGATGCTAAACCAGCAAGATGTTGGGGCACTTAAGCAGACATCTTACAATATATGTCATAATAAAATATAAGACCATATAGGATAATATAATATAGATCAGGCTATAAATTTCATTTTGATAGATGCTGATTAATGTATGTTTGAAGTGAAAAAGGATTTATCCTATTCTATGACCCCTTGCAATTAAGCTTTGGGGGAGCGGGGCACAGCAAGGCATGTTTGAATGTCTCCAAGAACACCCCCCCCCCCAGGAAACCTATTTCATCCCCTAACCTATTGCTCTTTGCAGTTCATTTTCCAGAAAAAAAGCAGGCGCTATCAATCCCACAGGAAGCTATAATAAAAGTCACTTGCTTGCTGAGATGAGTAGCAATATAAATGTACAAATAAATAAAATAATACTGTCCTTCCGATTGAGTCCCTGGGGGGGGGGGCAGGACAACCGGACATGCGTGCAAGGGGACCCACAGGGACCCTCAATATAAGGCATATAATTCGATTATAGAGCAGAAGAAGGGAGCAGGCGGAGGAATAATAGGACGAATATCCCTCTCCTTGCAATTGGGAGGGGCAGCCCAGACTCACAGGAAATCTATCATAGATTAAGATGATTAAAAACCCCGTAATATACCATGTAAATTAAATTATACTATAAATTTAACCCCCCCCCCCCATTTCTGCAGAGGCAGCACAGATAAGATGCAGCCCATTATTTACAATGTAACGACAGAATAATAGAGAATAGCCCAAGGAACAAGACCACCCGAGGCCCCTTCCGGGTCAATTTGGGGAGGGGGGGGCAGCACAAGCCCAGGAAAGTCTGCCACAAATAGAATAAAGAGGCTTCCTGGGAGAATTCACGCAGCCTTGAATAGGGTCAATATTGGCCACGACCCCCCCAATCACAAAGACCCCTCCCCAATCAGCCCCCCCACCCAAGACCCCCCTTTGACGGGGGGGGGGGGGAGCGGCGGCGCGGGCGCATTCATACGTGCATCTTCCGTGTCCGCCCGGCCTTGCTCCGCTCTCCCCCGCCAGGAGACCCCCCTCCCAGGGCGGGGCTTGTGGGGCGGGGGGGGTCGCGCCCCCACCACGACCACCACCCACCTGCGCCCCGCGGCGGGGCTGGCGCGGCGGCGGCTGCAAAATGGCGGCGGGGCGGGGCGGCTCAGGCCCCGCCCCTCGCGACCCTCCGCCAATCCGAGCCCACGGCGGCGCTCTGACCCCCTCCGGCCTTCTCCATCCTTCAGAGGCAGCGGCGGTCTGCCTCGCGGGGTCGTTGGATGGGGGGGGGGGTTTCAGCCCGGGAAAAGGGAGCCTGAGCTGCCCGGAAAGCAATGCAACTCGCACTTTGCCCTCCGTTTCAAAGGGGTGGGGTGGGGGGTCTCCCCCAAAGACGTGGGGAAGGCTGGCCATTGCATCCCCGGAGGGACCCCTCCCCAAATGCCATTGAAACCCACCCTTGAGGGCTGCCACACCTTTCTCGCATGGGGGATGGGCAGCTTAGGGGGTGCCCCGCCTTCCCTGTCCTGCTGGGCTTTGCTCAGGTAGAGGGGGGAGTTCCTGGCAAACCTGTCTTGCTCGTGGGGGGGACATGGCGGGGGGTCCCTCACAACAATTGCACTACATAAGACTGCTGCAAAGTAACTTTATTGCCACAGCATGTGCACAAAGAAATGTTTTCTGGGCATGGGCAGAGGGCAGGAAGGGGCCTTCTTGGTCAATTCAAATCTTCGAGCCCCCACCCCCCGCAAGAACAGCTGGGTCCAGTTGGCCATTGCCAGACCCCCAAGTCCAACAGAAACCAGAGGGGGCCCTTCCTGCTTCATCCACGCCGTCAGCGAAACCTGCTTTCCCAGCCTAAGCCATCCGGATCTCCGTTTGGGAGGCGGCCCTGGATTTCCTCCTGCTGGACCAGGACAAGAGGGTGTCCTCCCCAAAGGCCCCCTCAAAGGCCCCCCGCACGGACCGCCGGAAGCTCTTCTGACCCATGAAGACATAGAGAAGCGGGTTGAGGCAGCTGTTGAAGAAGGCCAGGCTGGACGCCAGCGGGACGCCCAGGTGCAGCACCCTCTTGACCGCTGGGCTGCCGGATGTCTTGGACATCTCCAGCAGGGAGAGGACGTGGTAGGGCGAGTAGCAGAGGAAGAAGGAGGCCGTCACGGCCGCAATGATCCGGAGAGGCTTGGGCGACTTGGCCAGGCGCCTGCGCTGCACCTGGTAAGCCACCACGCTGTGGCAGGTGGCGATCACCGTAAAGGGCAGCAGGAAGCCAAAGACGAACCTGGCCAGGATCATGGCTCTGTGCCTTTTCCGCCACAGGCTCCGGCTCCCCTCGCTGGAGTAGTTGCCGGAGAGGGCAAAGTTGTTGTAGCAGCTGGTGGCGTTCCTCGCACTCAGGGCCGTGTCTCGGAAGAGGAAGTATGGGGAGCTGATGAGCAAGGCTGCCCCCCAGGTCACCAGCGCGATGGCCCAGGCCAGCCGGGGCTTCCGGTGGTTCCTGGACCACACCGGCAGCACCACCAAGAGGCAGCGGTCCAGGCTGATGATGGTCAGGAGGAAGACGCTGGCGAACATGTTGAGGAAGGCCAGGCTGCTGTTGAGTTTGCAGAGGAAACGTCCGAAGGGCCAGTGGAAGCCCAGTGCCGTGTAGGCGATGCTCAGCGGCAGGAAGAAGGTGAAGACGAAGTCGGCCAGTGCCAGGTTGAGGAACCACACCACGTTCACCGTCTTCTCCATCTTGAAGCCGGCGATCCAGATGACCAGGCCGTTCCCGGTCACCCCCAGGAGACAGGCCACCCCGTAGACCGCGATGGAAAGGAGATGCAGGGTCCTTTCGATGCCCTGGGAGGGGCCGGGGGCTGAAGGGGTGCTCTTCTCGGGCCCCGGAGCGGAAGGGGTCAGGAAGGACGAGAGGGATGCGTTTTCCATTCGGAAGAGAGAATCCTGAAATGGGGTAAAGGTCAAGTTGATCTCACTGGAGGGGGCCAAGAATGGTTTAAAAAGTACAGAGAAAAGCAATCCAACGGGAAGGAAATGCCCCCCCCCCCCCAAAAAAAAAACAGGATCTACAGCCAAGCTTGCCACAAAGCCAATTACTGCAATTTGATATGAATTTTACAC